TCCGAAACACTGAATGAACCGCCCGCCACTGCGGAAAGCCTAGCAAGACGGGTACCGCACCCCAGGACCAACAAAAGAGCTGGCCCGCCCTCCAATCACGAGAAGAAACAAGCACGGACCAAAAACAGCAACCTGTCCCCAGCAGCAGCTACGACTCCCAACCATGAACCCCCAAATCCAACTCGCGAGGAGAGAACCGAGAGGTTTCGCCGATCGAGAACAAAATAGGAAACCGAGACTAAAGTAGCAGAAAAACGAAGGCATAACTCTAATTGACACAACCAAGTGTCGACATAGGAGGAGTCCACCGCCAACCGCTGCTTCGCCGGTGAAAAGGCACGGCCCGATCGGCAGCGAGAGAAGCGAAAATGGGAGAAGCATCGTCCCAAAGACCCAGCCGAAACCGATTGCAGCTATCCCGACCACATCCATGAGCCAGCGCCATACCCTACCATCTCCGACCGTACCTGAACTCCGTCGACTAACAAGGAGGAAGGACCTGCTCCATCTGTCGAGACGCGAAGCAGGGAGACGATCAGCCGATGAGAGAAGGAAGCACCACCATGGAGGGGCGACGGAGGGCCGTCCACCGATGTATCTAAACTTTCGGCGAGGGAGATACTACTTGCGCGATTGGGAGAAGAGGATCGGCGATTGAGAGACGAAAGGGGCTAGGGTTCGGCGCTCTCGAATACAATTCTTTTTGTGCATATAGAGCATGTTTGTTTATGAGATTTTTCAAAAAAAATTCCAACATTTTAACTCAACTTTAACTCAATCTAACTATCATCAATATTATCAATATAATTAAATAACAACCAATCATTCATATACACCACATCAACCTTAATTCACTATTCATATACTCACATAATTTAACTAACCATCACATCACATATTCTCTCTCCTACTTTTACATCAATTTAATTTTAATCATTTTATTTTAAATATTATTTTAATATACCCACTAACAACTAACCATACCATCTTTTCAAAATTAACCAAACCCAAACAAAAAATCCAAACAAACTCAAAAGATTTCATAAACAAACATGCTCTCTCAACTTTTTAGGGGGTGATTGTTTATCAATTCACTCAAAAAAAAAAAATCAATCAAAACTCAAATTTAACTCAACTTTAACACAACCCCACTATCTCCAATATTACCAATATAATTAAATAATGTCAATCAATCAATCAACTAATCATTTTTACACATCAAATCAACTTTAATTAATCATCACTTCCAATCATTTTTCTCTTACTTTTACATCATATCAACTTTAGTTATTTTATTTTAAATATTATTTTAATATTTACACCAACAACTAACCGTACTATCTTTTTTCATTAACTATAGTTAAAAAAACCAATCAATTTCTAGACGAAGTCATAAACAATCACCCCCTTAATGTTTAACACGAACAAGACCTAGAAATAACTCATTGAATATATATGTAACATAATAATAAAATGAATATTCAAACATATCTAATTTCCCCACCCATACCCATGACCTATTTTGATGCGTGCGTTTTAGGGTGGGTGGGGGCAAAATCCTCGTAGCACCGGGAAGTTGGCATGTGGCTGAGTGGGGGACACAACCCCCAAACTCATCAATTTTTGCTATTTACCGCCCCCCTATTACTAGTCACCGCCCCCCCCCAATTACGAAAATACCCTTTACT